AGAAAACAATTAAAAACCGAGATAACAAAATGAAACAGTGTTTAAGATGCCGGCCGGCATATAACAGTACAAGAATCTCAACCTAACACTCCCAAAATCCGGAACCCCATGAATCACAAGCTAAGAGTACATAAAAGGCTCTAACTCCAGAAATGTCTATCAACAAGGAAGATACATAAGGGCTATACTAGTACAGAGAATAGAAAGGGACTCCTCGGTCTGCGGACGCGGCAGATATACCTCGAAGTCTCTACAGAAGCGCCTCGCCTCAAGGGTGATAAGACTGAGTGGAAGTACCTGGATCTGCACACGCAAAAACAAGTGCAGGAAAGGGCATGAGTACACCACAGCGGTACCCAGTAAGTGCCAAGCCTAACCTCGGTCGAGTGGTGACGAGGAAGGTCAGGGCCCTACCGGTCATATACAATAATATATAAGGAAGATGAGCAGTAGTAAAGAAATACAGATAATGAGAGAAACAACAACCACAACCAAGGAAAATAATCACATAAGGTATACAACTCAACATGGAGATAACAACCAGGGGTCTACCAGGGCCCCGTCCTGTAGCCCCAAAAGTAAATAATCAGTGAATTTCCCGGGTGTTGTCCCGTAGTCCATATCCTGTGCAGGGGGGATCTACCGGAATACCACATCCGTAGTCCCAATTAACAGACAAGGGGGATCTACCGGGAACCGCCCATAGTCCCAATGTAAACACACAGCAACAACACAAGAATAATCAACTCAATGCAATTTAATATCAAAATAGACAGGTAATTCTAAGCTAGCATGCTGCACAAAGTTCAGATAAGGCAGTTTGAGCAAGTAGGAAATTTAGTCATTTAGGCATGCTTTCCTACGCTAACAGTAAGCTCAAAGTTCAAGTAGTGTAAACAGTAAAGAAAAATACGAAATTATAGATACTTAATGAAAAATAGGATTTTCAACAATCAGCAAAAGTACGCGCTCGTCACCTCACGTACAAGGCATTTCAAATATCACAGTACCAAATCTTAAGGGGAGTTCCCCCATACAAGGTTAGACAAGCCGCTTACCTCGAACCAACTCAATCAAATCTATACCACGTTCTTGCCATGAGTATCCGACTCCAAATGGACCAAATCTCTTCAAAGTAATTGCATAATGTAAATAACACTTCAAGTAACTAATTTAACTAATTAATTCTAAGCTAATACGCGAAATTAGGAAAAATAACCAAAACGCCCCCCGGGCCCTCATCTCGGAATCGGGTAAAATTTATAAATTCGGAATCCTCACACTCTCACAAGTTCAGCCATACCAAAATTACCAAATTCGGACCTCAAATGGTCCCTCAAATCACCACTCAAAGCTCTTCAATTAACCAAACCCTAACCCCTAATTTACCACTGATTTTCCTTCAAATTTCATGCTTATAATGATAAAAATCACCATAATAACGAGCTTAAGGACCAAAGACCTTACCTCAATGAAACCCTCTGAAAATCTCCCTTGAAAATGCCCTCCAAAGCTTCACCCCGAATAAAAAATTGAGAGAAATGGTCCAAAATCGCGAAGTGTAGAATTTATAGTTTCTGCCCCAGCAAAGCCGCACCTACGGTTAAATAGTCGCACCTGCGAACTTCACTTAAAACACCAGGGCCGCACCTGCGCAAGAAATCCCGCATTTGCGCAATCGCAGGTGCGACCAGGACCTCGCTTTTGCGATCCCAGCCTGCTCCTCTCTTGGCCGCATATGCGGCTTCCTATCCGCTCCTGCGTGCCCGCACCTGCAGTCCCCTAGCCGCAGGTGCGGTTATGACAGCAACAGAACTCCTTCAGCTGCCAAACTCAACTCAAAATCACCCGTTAACCACCCGAAATCACCCCGAGGCCCCTAGGATCTCAACCGAAGGCACGAGCAAGTCATATACCACCTTCCAAACTTGTACCAATCCTCAAAACACCTAAAACAACATCGAAACATCGAATTAACCATGGATTTAAGCCTAAAAACTCTAAAGACTTTCGAATTCCGCTTTTGATCAAAAAGTCTATCAAACCTCGTCCGAATGACCTGAAACTTTGCACACATATCCCAAATGACACAACGGACCTACTACGACTTCCGGAACTCCATTCCGACCCCGATATCAAAATTTCACTACCGAACCGGAAACTTCAAAAATTCAACTTTCGGCATTTCAAGCCTAATTAAGCTACGGACCCCCAAAACACAATCCGAACATGCCCCTAAGCCCGAAATCATCCAACGGAGCTAACGGAACCGACGAAATTCCATTTCGAGGCCGTCTTCACACTGCTCCAACTACGGTCCAAATTCTAAAGCTTAAACTCTCATTTAGGGACTAAGTGTCCCAAAATACTCCGAAACTCAAAACGAAATCTCCCGGCAACTCAGAATAGCAGAAATAAACACGGGGAAAGCAGTTAATAGGAGATCGGGGCGTTAATTCTTAAAACGACCGGCCGGATCGTTACATGAGGCAGGTGCATCTAGTTATCCGCCAGGCGCACATTCTTGATCTTGGATCGAGACTTCACGGTGAGCTGCCCCCTTTCTAGCCGTTCAGCAGCATGCCAGTATTTATCTTTTGCTTGTATCTGTCCACTCTACTTCAGACAGTAGGATAGTCATCTTTTGTATATTCTACTAGTTGCCCATATACTTGTGACTCTAGATATTGGCACATATTAGTAGACTTAATTTTTGGGGTTGTATTCCTGTAATTATGATTTCTTTGAGTTGTTTCCGTTTCAGTTGCCTTAAAAATCCGTTATTTATCGAATGCTTTAAATTTAAGTTAAGTTAGATGTTGGGATTGTTTAATAAAATAAATGGAAACTCACTTGTTGATCAGTGTTGGCTTGCCTAACGACGGTGTTGGGCGCCATCACGACCTATAATGGAATTTGGGTTGTGACAGATGTTTTATACGTTTTTAAACCTTACGAGATGACTTTTTTCCATTGCTATGGAGTAATTTCCATTAGGGCATTGATAGATACGGTATTTTGGTAACTTGATTAGGGATTCGATTTTTGATAATTGTTGGAATTAAGTGATGGAGTTTTAATTCGTATTGTGGAGTTATTTCTTATTTTTGCTTAATCGAAAGAGGAGCTTGATATTGAGTTTCTTTACATCTTATGCCCTAGTTTAAATTCGTGATTCAAATAGGTAATCAAAAGGGCCTCTTGAATTTTTAATCGAACCAGAAAATAGGGAAATATTCTTGAGAAGTTACCCTTTAGACCATAACCATCATTTTATTCGTTGCAATTGTTCACCGTGCTTCAATTGGATTAATTACTGAAATTAACGTTTAATCAAAATAGGAACATTAACTTCAAGTGTAATCTAATTATCTGTTGAATTCGTGAGAATTAACAGTATTATAGAGTGAACTAACTCAAGAATTGGATCCCGAGTCAATTATCTTGTACCTGTCTAGTCAATTACTCTTATTTCTCTCGTTGATAGTTCTTCTTTGCTCATCTGCTGTCTTTTGTGATTAATTGTTAACTGCTTAATTTTTAGTAGTTAATCGTAGTTGATAATCATCAAATCAAGTGTTAATTTTCCTGGATAGTAATTAACTGAAGATTATTCGAACACTATTTAAATTCAATCCCTGTGAAGACGATAATTAAACTATACTATCTTTGACTAGCGAGCAATAATTTTGTGTTATGTTTTGCGCTTGTCAGGCCTCTCCTCTTCACATGCCTGAACCACTCAACCTCGATTTCCGCAACTTGTCTTCACAGGAGCCACGTCCACCTTGTTCCTAATAACTTTATTCCTGATCTTGTCTTTCCTGGTATGCCCATACATCTATCTTAACATCCCCATTTCTGCTACTCTCATATTTTGAACGTGAGATTTCTTGATTGGCCAACACTCGGCTCCATACAACATAGTCGGTCTAACTACCATTCTGTATAACTTATCCTTAAGTCTAGGTGGCACATTCCTATCGCACAAGACACCAGATGCGAGCATCTATTTCATCCGCCTCGCTTCAATACGATGAATAACATCCTCATTAATCTCGCCGTTACCTTGAATTATGGGCCAAAGGTATTTGAAACTATCCTTCTTGGGGATGACTCGTGTATCAAGCTTCACATCCACTTTAAAAAAAAAAAAAAAGTACCTAACAACAATAACAATGAAAGATAAAAGAAATTTGGTCCCGATTATTTAGTGGTTTTCGGCAAACAGAGAGTTTAAGAAATCTTTAATATCAAATTGCTCAGTTTATAACTAGAGAGATCATTAATTAAGTTATTAACTTATACAAATGGAACACTTTGGTTCCTACTTTTAGCATGTAATTCTCTTTTCGCGAAGTTAATTAAGTTATTAACGTATAAGTTAAATGAAAACGTATAAGTTAAATGAAGGATTGCTTTTCAGCTTCTTATGTTCCTTTTGATTTTGACATTTTCTTCTCCACCTCTTTGACCTTAAAACATTATATAAGTTGTAATACATGTTGTTTGTATAGTTGTGATAGTGAAATGCAATTAAAAATTTGATACTATTGGATGACACCTGAGAAGAAGATAAAGCAATTGAAGTTATTTAAAAATAGTATGAATGATCCAGTTCCTTTTTTAGCAATTTTTTTGAGAAAATCATAAGCACTGTCACCATTTTATTTATTTCATATCAACTTCTGATAAATCCAATATTTTCTCTTTTTAAAACCAGATATCAATGTAGCCATTAGAATAATTTTAAATTTCACAAAATAAGCTTTTTCAAATACATTATAGTTACCAAAGATTATGTAGTGCGAGGTTAAGTTTAATTTCTATGTTCCTTAAAAGAATGATATAATTCCTTAAATATTCTCAAAAGTTGCATAAATATTTGAAAAATAAATAAAAAAAGTCCATTAATCATGCTATTTTAGATTAAAAAGTAGTAGTTGAATAGCAATCAAGAAAAATACATCTCTTGCTTGGAGCTGGAGGGAGAGCATTTTTCATACCATTTCTGTACCTACGCTATACTACTACCGTATACTAAGAGATAAATATACGAGTATAACGATGGTATGTAGAAAGTATTGAAGCGTATTACTGCTCTATCTTCTTTTTTTTTTTTTAGCTCACTGAAACAAAACAGAAACTCTCAAAAGAAAAGAACAACAAAAAATTCACCTGAAGAGAAAAAAAAAGACAAGAAAAGATAAACCAATTGCCGTCACCGGAAGAAGTTCAGCGATGCAACGTGGAAGTGGCGGTGCCGGTGGCGGAGGCAGTGGATTATCCCGGTACTGTTCAGCTCCGGCGACATGGTTAGAAGCACTTCTCGAATCCGACACTGAAAACGAAGTGGTTGTTAACCCTTCTTCTCCCATTTTACACTCACCCAATAAACCACCACCCCACCCATCAACTACTCAGCAGCAGCTTCCGGTGCTTGTTAAACCGGAAACTAGGTTCACCGGCGATCCGGGTCTGTTTGAATCCGGCGGTAGTAGTAATTTTCTCCGGCAGCAGAGTTCTCCGGCGGAGTTTCTTTCACATATTAACTCAGATGGTTACTTCTCAAGCTATGGAATTCCCTCCAGTTTGAACTATATTTCTCAGCCCATTAAGCGGCCCAGAGAAGATGATTCCGAAAGTTCGCCCAGAAAATTATCTAACCACTTGGTTAGTATAAACTTTACCACCTCATCTGTAGTTTAAATTTTTATTATCCCTAAATTCGGGTTAATTTTTTTCATGAGGCAAGCATGTGGATATTTCAACCTTGGAAAGTATTGGTTTTACTTGTTAATGTTTGTAAATTTAACATGGTCTTGATTATTCATCTGATTACATGACTTGACTTTCCATTAAAAAAGTTTGTCTACCCTTTGTATTGTGTTTTATGGCTACCGCGAATGAGATTGTTGAAAGCATATTTTCCTTGTGGAAGTAACATATATTTGTCTTCTTCTATATGTTTCTTTTCTTGTTACTCCCTTCGTCCCAATATATGTGGCACCAATTTGACTTTGGATACACAGTTTAAGAAGAAATCAAGTATGACTTTTGTAACTTGTGGTCTAAAACAAGCCTTAGACATTTGTATGTGGTTGTAAATCATCTCATTAAGGTAATATGGATATTCTAAAGTTAAATTGTTTCTAAATATAGAAAGGTGATGGGATGGTGTGACCCTGCCACATAAATTGGGACAGAGGGAGTATTATTTCTATATGGATTGAATTTTAAGTCTTCTTGTTGTTGTCCAAATATAAACAATGGTGAAAGATCAGTATACGAGGATAATACAATTGGTTCCTTAAAATTAGTAATAACAAATTATTAGTTAATAACACTACAAACCAATAGTCGTTGGAAACTGTTGTGCATAAACTTTGAAGCAATTCTGTCTAATGTGTGTGTGATCTGACTTTTCTTTTTTGGGGTCTCCTGAAGCACTATTCTTTCTATTAATATTTACATACTTACAGCTGTTTGTGTTTGAGACGTGTAGAAGGGAGAGCCAAGTGGACAGTTACGTGGTTCTGGTGGATCACTGGATGCTGAAATGGAGAAGCTCATGGACGATTTGGTGCCTTGTAAGGTTCGAGCAAAGCGTGGTTGTGCTACCCATCCTCGCAGCATAGCTGAGCGAGTAAAGCATTTTCCTTTTTTTCCCTTCTACTTGTGTTTATAGGCAATTTAAATCAACCAGTCATTAATCTAACAAGGTTATGCTTGTACTTCTCTTTTGCAAGGTTCGTCGAACGCGCATAAGTGACAGAATAAGGAAGCTTCAGGAACTGGTGCCTAATATGGACAAGGTAAATTATTTATGGGAGCTCCTTGTACATCTTTCAAAGTGCTTCATAAATAGCAATTTCATGAGAGCTTTGACTTGTGCTAATTATAGGGATTTGGCGCCTGTTATTTTCACCCTTTTATCATGTCTCCTTCAACAGGAAAATGATGAACAAGACAACCACCTTTAATCTCGAAGTGATAATCAATTTATTTATGACATCAATGATCCTAATGGGTGAGTCCATCAAATGAATGGAGAAAAGTAGTTATGAAGATTAAAGTATGCATCTTGTGGAAATTGATTCCAGACTTACTGACAACTGATTCTATATAACATTATTCAATCTTAAAGATGATTTTACACAAATCTAATAACTAATTGTCCTAGTTTTAGCCATAGTTAAACGACAAATGCTTTCTAAATAAATACCAATGAGTCCCTGCTAAATGGTTTACCATTTTCTACTAGGTTGATTATGGTCAATGTAACACTCACCAGAGATAAGCTCTTACCTATTCACCAAAGACCAATAATCATTTGAGTCGGTCCTAATCTTTAGAAATTGTAAGCAGTATGACAAATTTCCTTTCTCCTTGTTGGATATGTTTCATCTGCTTATGCCAAGCCTTCCATGATGAACTCACAATAGCCAATTAACATCAAACCCTGAGTTTTTCCCCTGCATAGGGGACTAAACGGAGCTCTAATCTTGATTTGTCAAAACTCAACCCTCTTGTTGCTAGTTGAAGTAAAGGCCAGTTCTTGCTCATATTCTAGAGATTTTCTCAACAATCGAAGCATTTTGAACAAATTCTCAATGACGCCCTAATAAAATGTGCTAGCGTTACATGAATGATTTGGTTGTTTCTCAAACAGCAATTGTCGACCACCTCAAATATTTGCAATATTAAATTCCTCACACATGACACTTCTCCCAAACAGCACGCCCCATTAGATGAAGATTATTCTCCATGTGATGAAGACCGACTTAGGGTAGATAGTAGTATGACATAAATATCACTGCACAGGTGGCATTCTTTAGTTGGGAACTTATCAGTAAAAATATATGAGGCTTTTTCTGCTAGGAAGCCAGGGTAAGCTCTTTGATAGGCAAAGCCTTAAGCTTTTGTAGAACCACAAGGACTATATATGATCTTACATGTAAAGCTCAAGGTGGATGATCCTAACATTGGTTGGGACCTGAATTTGTTCCTGGATTGGTTAGACACAAGATTCAGGATTGAGGCATAATTGATCGATTGATTTGGTTATATATTTTAGAAGATTACTCTCAGTTATTTGATATTCTAAATATTTTATTTTGCGAGGATGAACATGTTGGGAGTGCCAGAAAGTACGGTTAAAGTGTCGTTTCCGAGATAGTATTTTGGTCAATCATCAGTTACTATGTGGGTCAAAAATGAAAGCAAAATTTAAGTAATGATGCATTCCCAAACTTTCGAAAATCCAACCAATAGATCAAATGCTTAACCTTAGCAATGACCGCTAATATTACCAAGTAAGTCTTGATTCCATGATCTTTAATTTAAGTCTGAGTTAAAAAATCCTGGTATGTTACTGTTTCTAGGTGTATAATTGAGTCTTTGCCTTTATTTAAAAAAAATGAGTTTTTATCTTATAGCATGAGCAAAGTACTTATATTGTTCTGTCTTTTAAAGATTGCACACCAAAATGTCTTTCTTCAGCTGAATGCATACCAAAATATCTTAAGAGTTTGAGAAGTACTTTAAAATCTCCTTCCATTGACAGACATTTAAGATTGGAGAATACGATAGCTTTGATTTGGCTTCTCAAAATATCTTGGAGTTTGAGACTGTAAAACCCCCTCTTTATTATCTCCATCTCTCTTAGTCTTCTCTCTTTCTACCTTTTGCTCGCTCATTCTCTCTCTCATATCTCTATTTCACCTTTTTGGTGCCATATCATTTATCAAGCCCGTAGCAACCTTGAAATTCTCTTAGACCTCAATATGTGGCTGATGTCCCGATTTATCCATATTTCTTATTTCATGTCTATGTGATCCTTAGTGTTTTGACTTCACTAAGAAACAGTGCCTTGCTCATTTTGGATCATTTTTGTTTGTGGTTCATGAGGATCAACAATTGAAGAAGGTACATAGAAAAAGAAGTGCATGTGAAAATAACCTCCC